ACATCTCATATAATTTATTGATGTTCTACTGAATGCCTATCATTTCCACACCATCATAAAGTTGAAAAGTCTTAAGTCAAGGACTATCTGTACAGTCAATACAATAGGCAGAATTCTAAAATGGCCCCAAGATTCCCTGGTGTATATACACCTTCTTCCAATTACTCTATCAAATACTAATTTAGGTGCTGCTATAAAGGGATTTTTTTAGATGTAATTAATGTCCCAAATCAGTTGACCTCAAAATACGGAGATTATCCACGTGGGCCTGACATAATCACGAGTCTTTAATCTGTGTCTACAAATCAGCAACAGAGGAACTATAGATCAGGCTCAGAAGATGACCCTGAGCCACAAATGAGACAGAAGTCCTAGCCAAAACCTTGATTTCAGCTGTGTGAGATTCTGAGCAGAGAACCCAGCCATGCATGCCAGACCTTTGACCCATAGAAACAGTGAAATAATAAATTTGTGGGGCTTTTTCTTCAGACACAAAGTTTGGGGTAATTTGTTACCCAGCAAAAGAAAACTAATACAGTTGGAAAAGGCTAATTAGAACAATGTATAGAACTTACCCAGTTCAGAAACCTTAAAATCTTCTCATTTAAGCACAGAGGTAAAGAACATCCAAAACTGCATAGTAAAATAAATGAGGACTCTATTGTACACTCAGAGCACCCATAACTTTTCCTTTGTAACACCTGCTGTCACCATGATGCTTTCCTCAGTGCTCACAGTGAATAGTAGCTTTTTGATAAATATTTCAAATAAATGAATTATAACAGGTCATTTTATTTCAAGTTAAGATATAAAAGTGATTCACCTTATAACTCCTTGAAACCTCACAACTTCAAGATAGAAAACCCTATTTGATATTATTAAGAAAGTATGTATTAAACTACCACTTCTAAGTGTTATAAATAGAACTAATTATATTTCTACCAGTGAAGGACCAAAGACAAGACTACATATTATTACCTTGCTTTCTTCCCCTTGTCTCAGTCTTCCAGGACTTGGAGGAACTGAAGGTCGCTTTCTACCCTTTTCCTGCTGGAAAAGGTCCTGTAACCTATGGTGAAAAGCAAAATAAAGACCAAAAAATAATAATAACAACACATATATATGTACATATGTATGGTTTTGTTTCTAGCACCTTGAATGATGTTTATAAATTTTACCTTTACAAATTTAAATCACAATACTTAACTTTTCCTATTTGGATTGCAAAACAACTTCTTTAAAGTTGTATTATAACTAAGCTTTTGTCGTATATAATCAACTAACCAAGAGCTCTTCTGATATGACTGTGGTTATAAAAGAAGAATAGCAAATTATTAAAAAGAAAAATATTTCTAAAAATAAATATTTAAATAAAGTTATAAGATAAATATATTAATAGATTTGAAATTCCTGGCCCCAAAACCAATAATCACTCATGGCATACTAATTCAGTTAAATTTGACTCAACAGCACACACATTCAAAGAAAAATATTTCTAAAAATAAATATTTAAATAAAGTTATAAGATAAATATATTAATATATTTGAAATTCCTGGCCCAAAAACCAATAATCACTCATGGCATACTAATTCAGTTAAATTTGACTCAACAGCACACACATTTGAAACAGCATTGTTTCAAACTCTATTCAAAACAGCATTGAAGGCTGTTCCTATCTTTGGTGTTTATGTCTTCACAAACTAAAGATTAGAACATATATTTTAAAGGATAAAGGGGAAAGGAGGGCGACAGAAAACAAAAGCTTCTATAGCGTGATAGTAAAATGAAACACCCATAATCAATAAAGACTTTTAAGTTAAAAAGTATCACGGCAGAGCAAATTTGACAATAATATTAAAGAAAACTAGACCACAAAATCATACCTGTTATTCCAAGCTTGTAGCACTTCACAGAGACTTTGCTTCTTGGCAATGAGTGACTCAAAGACTGACTGCAGTTGCTGAGGGGTATCTACAGAGGAAGACATGAGCCTTGCCTGCATCTTCTCAATCCAGTTCTTAAACTCGCCTTCTTCCATCTACAAGGAACAGAAACAATTTCAGTAAACTGAGACACTAGTAAGTTAGTAATTAACTTTTGAAATTTCTGTCAAAGAAATGAATTACCTCTTTTTGTGCAAAGATATCTTCCATTTTTTCCTCTCTTGTTTTGCTAAACGTATCAGTTTTCAAAGATGTAAGTCTTTCATCAACAGCAAGATATACCTGAGAAACTCTAATAATATAGAGAAAATTACACACTCTAGAAAAGGTGGTATCAAATCTCACACAAATAGGAAAAAAAAAATGTTACATACAAAACTATAACTGAAATATGTTTTACCTAATTAAGAATCACATATAATTCTGCAGAGAAAAAACAACCTGAAAGAATGTACTTCAAAATTTTAACAGTTGTTATATCTAAGACAGTTTGACTTCTTTTTTAATACTTTTCTGTAGTGTCTCTGTTTTTCTTTTTTGACACCAAGCATATATAACAATTAGAAAAATACATTTCTAGTAATTAGACAGTTTTCAAAGAAAATTAATGAACAAACTTGATACTTTAGAATAGCTGTAGATTATAGACAAACACCAAACAAAAAAAGGATGATCAAAGAATTAAAACTTACTTTTGAAAGAAGTCCTTCAGATCCTGAAGAAGGGACACTTTTAATGGGGCCTGACGTTTAATGAATATTTTGGGGAGTGGAACACATACTTCAAGAAGCCGAATGGGAGAATAACTGAGGGAGAAAATACAAGTAACAGTAGAAAAATCAGAAATATTTTAATATTATAGCTGTATCAATGACAATTAACTAAATCCTATGAAAAATAAGAGAAAATAAAGTTTCTATAAGATGGCATTTTAAAACAATCATAAAGATACTGAATTTAACTTTCAACCACTATGAATATCCTCCCCAATTTTGGAGGGAGTTTCCTTGTTTTTTCACTGCACTGTGGTGCCACCATTTACCTCCTGAGGCTATCATCATCTGCTATAAAAACAAAAAGAGATCTTGATATAAACCTTCTCTATGAATGAAGAAAGGGATTCCTTCCTATAATTAGCTTAAACGTAGATATTCATTATCTTCCCAGCTCCTGAGAATTCTTCATGAATCTTTAATTTCCTTTGCACCTGAGGGTTTATGTTAGCTAGTAAAAGATACACCCCATCTAGCCTCCAGATTCACGGTTAAAAGCTCTTGCTTAAAAGAAGGAAATAAGCTCTAGTTAGCAAATATTACCTATTACATGCCAGACAGTTTTAGGTGCTGAGGATATAGCACTACACACAAGCCAAAATTCCTGTTCTCATGATTCAAAAATAACAAGTTTGGGATAATAAACAAAACAAATATTTAAAATATATATCAGATGGTAAGTGCTATGGAGAAAAATAAAGCAAGAAAGAGACACAGGAAGTGCTAGGGGTAAAGGTTGTCAGGGCAGGTGAAGTCTGAACAGACCTGCAGGAAGTAAGGATACAGCAGTCAGATATCTGGGGAATGAGCAATTCTGAGAAGGAAGAACAATCACAAGGCTCCCAGGCAGGAGCCTACCTGACATACGAGAGGCCCAGCCAGGAGGCCAGCAAGGCTGCAGCAGGGTGAGTGAGGGGTGAGTAGTAGGAGATGAGAACAGCAAGGCCCTGGGCAGCCAGAGCATGGAGGAGCTTATGGGACAGTAAATGAACTCTGGCTTTCATTCAGGATGAAACAGACACCTTTTGGAGTGTCTAGAGCAGAGAAGCGACCTGAGCTGATTTTCCTTTAACAGGATCACTCTGACTGCTGTGTTGAGAACAGGCTACAGAGGCAAGGCCAAAGGGAGACTGGTTGAGGCTACTACAATAATCTAGGTAAAAGGGACAGAGGCTCAGCCCAAAGTGGTATTACTTGGAGGCAGTAGAAAGTGTTAAGATTCTGGATTTATTCTGAAGGCAGAGCCTGAAGGCTTTCTCCACGATGGTAACTATCTACTCTTTGAACTTGGAATGTTAGGTCTATCACAGAATGATATTTTATTATCTTTATACTAGTTAATGTCTTAGCAAAAATTCTGACAGACTTTCAGATGACTAAACAATGATTCAGAATGAGGCTGCTACTACAAGATCGACCAGAGTTCAAACCATAACTCCATCACTTGCTAGCTCTCTAAGTGGACTATTATAAGCTCTGTAAGTGAAGATAATAATAATACCTATTTCCTAGGATAAGGAGTAAATAAAATAATACTATAAGCTCTCAGAAGAGTCTGGCCCTCTCCTTTTGCACAGGTGCAGATAGGGAATAACACATACCCACAAATTAATTCATGTAGTAATAGTGGAAACGTTACAAAGCCTTCAAAGGATTATGTGATCACGTACAACATCCCTTTGACTTCTTACCTGAAAGATGCCACCATCTGGTTATAGGAGAAATACTGGTGATAATCATGGTGGATAGAGTGACCACATGGCTCAGCATTGGCTCTACGAGTGTACTGGTGCCCATAAAACCTGAGTTCAAGGTATTTTGCAAATGACATAGACCAGGACTCATTGGAAAGAGCAACAACTGGTGTTACCTGGAATTCAGCAAAAATAGTTTGTTATATAATTACATACTGAGAATCTCTTTTTTTAAAAAAAAATGTATTTTCTTTTCTAATATAATCAATATATTCTGACTGTAGAAAACTTGGAAAAGAACAAAAGTTCAAAGGTATGTAGAACTGTGGGTGGTGGGAGAGAGCAGCATTACCATTAATCCCATCACCAACACCAATATACTAATATATGTTTACTTTCTTTTTATACATGAATACATATACATAGTTTATTTGTAAATAAAAACTCTTCTCCTATAATTAGTTTCATAACTTTATCTTTTTTACTTAGCAATATATCGTGAATATTTTCCCACATAAATATTCTGGTACAACTTTTTAAATGGCCTCAGGCCGGCCCGGTGGCGCACTGGATAGTGCGCCGCTTGGGAAGGGCGGCGGCGCTCCTGCGCGAGGGTTCGGATCCCACATACAGACCGGTTCCCGCTCACTGGCTGAGCGAGGCGCGGGGGCAACACCGAGGGTTGCGATCCCGTTGCCGGTCCCGGTCCAGTATGGGGGCGACACTGAGGGTTGCAATCCGTTGCCGGACACGGAAAAAAAAAGACAAAAAAATAAAAATAAAATAAATGGCCTCAAAGTATCCTATGAACATATATTTAACCAATCCCTACTGATATGCATTTAAGACATTAAAATTTTTTCCTTATTTGGATGATGCTCTAATGAACATCCTTGTATATAAAAATAAAATAAATGGCCTCAAAGTATCCTATTATATGAACATATATTTAACCAATCCCTACTGATAGGCATTTAAGACATTAAAATTTTTTCCTTATTTGGATGATGCTCTAATGAACATCCTTGTATATACATACTTAGAAACAGCCACAATTATTTCCTTGGAATAAATTAATAAAGGTGGGAATTGGTAGGTCAAAGGGCATGAACATTTATATGATCTTTGATACTTTTTGTCACACTGCCTTCCAAAACAGGATACTGGTTTACACAATCTCCAACAGTATTTGAGAATACTGATTTCTCTACTTTCTTACCAATCCTAGGAATTAAAAATCTTTGAAATGTGATTTCTTGAAAAAAGTTAAAGGCATTTTTACTGGTTTCACTTATATTTCAACTACTAATGAGTAAAATTTATTTGTACATGTTTACTGGCCATTTGTATTAAATTGCTTTGTCATGTCCTTTGCCCATTTTTCTATTATCATGGCTTATAGAAATTTAAAATTAAGTACATTTATGTTTGGTCATATTATGTTGTAACTTTCCTTGACACTAGAAGTTTTTCATTTTTGTGTAACAGTACAATTTTTCCTTTCTGGCATAACCCCAAAAGAAGTTTTTAAAATAAAGTGCAAAGCATGCAAGATATAAAGATCAAATTTAAGTTATTCCTTCATGCAATGGCAGATCTACAGAGTTCACATACTCTACAACAAAATATTACCATCTATCTAACAGGAACTAAAGGCCTATAAAAGGAAGCATGAAAGTAAGACTGATAATTGCTAAAAATGATTTCATGCTTGTATATTTGCTGCTATAGGAGCAAATAACTTTAATTTTGCCCTTCTCAACCACTGATATTAATACAGGGCACACTATTATTTTATCTATAATTCTTATATGTGCCATCCAAAAGCACACTCCAAAATAAGCCAACTAAGATAGAATGAAGTTAAATCTGGTACATACTCACTGCAAAAAATTTGAATAAAAATTATATATTGAAAACATAATATTGGCAAATACCAAATATTTGCCCCAAGTTAGAAAAGTAAAGAAAGGCACAGAAGAAATAAAACACACGTTCTTTCCTCAAGAATGTACATGCAAACCAGTAGAGATCAATTTTAAAACCAGCGGAGATTCATTTGTATCTCTTAAGATAGCAACATTGATATAAAGTCACATCTATTATACAAATATCCTAATAAACTGTAGTTACTGCTTTCCAAATCTGTCTCTACCTCTAGAGCACAGAAGTCATTCCCTATTCTTTTTTCATTCCTAGGGCCTAGCACAGTATCTGGCATACAGGGGTGCTAAATAAATGTCTGCTGAATGAATAAACGAATATAATTGAGAACTATCAAGATACAATCTCAAGATATTTTACTGGACAAGGCAACTAACTACATTTTATTTTATGACTGATATATTCCTTAAACAGAGTTTTCAAAAAACAAATATTAGATTGAATATACACCACTGGAAGGTAAAATAATAAGAGCCCAATGATGAATAACAAATCCAAAATAATATAAACCAACTTCTCCCTAAAAAAAAAGAACTATACAAATTAAAAAAATGACATATGAAATGTTGTAACAGGGTATATTTACCTGTTTGCAGATTCTGCACCAGGAATATGTGAGAATTGTGTGTTGATATCCAGGTACTGGAGAATCCAACTCCTTCAGGATTATCTGCACACAGCCTTGGCCATGAACAAAGCGCCGAATGTGATGCACCATGGGGGTATCACAGAACATGCTAGGACACTGATAAGAAGGCCTTTGACAAATAAGAGAGTCCTTTTCACATTAAGCATGAAAAAGAGGCCATGTATAATAAATACTGGCTAATCGGAACCGTTGTCAAGGAGTGCAGCATCCTCTCTCTCTGATCTAGAGTAACGATGACCGGTGGACAATTTGTACATGGACTCATGTTGCTCTAAGCCTGCAGCTGAGCACCCTGTCTTCAACACAGTGATTGATGTTTCTATTTGTTAATCCCCTTTTACTTACCAAGCAGTTTTAAAACATCCCATTTTACACATTCAAACCCTGACATTTCTGGGGATTGTTATTTCCTATACAGGGTGCTGGTAAAGATTAAATTACTTGCGCTTTGCCATGTAGGTGGTGAGTGATAGCGTTAAGACTTAAACTGAGGTCTAGCTGATTCTGACACTTCCCCTGCCTCTCATTTGAATCGCTATAAAAGACAGACAACCTAAAAAAGGCTTATGGAGGGCAGGGTAATTAGATAGCAAAGATATGAAAAATGTACCAGATAAGACATTCCAGTTTGAATATAAAACAGATTGCTTCTTTGTATGGTATACTCTGATATATGGATGAAAGTGAGGACCATACAACACTTAACATCCAAATCATGTTTATATTTTAGGTTGAAATTCTGGGCATCAAAAATGCATTGGAATATAAGGAGAAAATCTGCTCTTACCTGAAACAGTATCTCTCTAAAAATATTCCTAATGTAAGATCATTCTTTCCATAAAATTCCATTGTTACAATCCTAAAAGAAGAAATCACTTCTTAGAAACATAAGAATTACCACACATCAAAGACATTTCATGAGACCACAAATTACAATTACTTGTTAAACGTACTTATAATAAAGTATTAAAGCAGGCAATATTCTTTGTTGTTACAGAATGTTTTCCCTCATCCAGTAAAACAAGTTTACACTAGTTACACCCTAGCATCTTTTTCACTCCAATCCATTAGTTTCTTATCAAACTATTTAATGAGGATACATAAACTATAATATTGAGTAAAACTGATTTGAGTTAGGAAGAGGTAAAAGTTTCTTTTACAAAGCCTTAAGCCCTGTCAACATAAAATGGGACTCCTGTCTCCTGCTCTCTAGTATACATTTTTACTGAGCAGAGAGAACAGCAGTTCATATTCTTGCTAAAGCACCACTTCCTAACTTTATATGTAACTTATAAATGCCCACAAATAAAGAGAGTTTGGCTATACGCCTACAGAAACCCACCTTTTATTCAAGCCTTGACCTAAAGAGTCCACAAACTTCCACAGAAAATTCCTATGGGCTCCCCCAGCCCCAAGTCTGCCTGCTGGAGCTATACCACTTCTGGAAGAATCACTGATCTCACTGCTGGAAATTAGTGTTTCTGGTGTCCAAAATTAAAACACAGAACACACTTTTCCACGGAAACAATGCTCCAAAAGAAAGGAGTTATGTTCCATAGTACTTTCTAAACTAAAGGTAAACTATGTAATGTAAAGCTATGTAAGTGTATATATGGTTTTGTGACTATCATTTGAAAAAAATAACTTATTATAAAATGTGTTTCTAGGCCAAAAAATAATAATAATAAAATGTGTTTCTATTTCTATCGATCTACTTAGAATTAAGTTTAAGCTGACAGCTTTTATAAAAATGATGCCTGAAGGAAAATCTGCCTAAACTATACATGTTATCAAAATGCCTATAAACCAGATTTTGTGTGTTAACTTTGTTGCTTTTCTAAGCACAAATTTCTCTTCTATCCCTCACATTTTTTTCACTCTTACTTAAGGTACTCTCATTTACTTTTACCCATGAACAAAAATTTCATATTTACTTCACAAGTTTAAAAGTTCTATCTATCAGTTTACATATGACCAGCAACGTGCCATGTACCTAAAATCAGGTCTTAATGGCTGTATTTTTTTTTTAATTGCTGGAATTCTATGCTGTAGCACAATAGTGTAGGGGGAGAAGAATCCTACCAAGGACTGACACAGGCACTGGGAGCATTGCTGGACTGAGCAGAAGAGCTGCTGAAGAGCACACAGAGTCTCTGGTGGTTAACAGGATTCAGACAGTCCACCTGAAAGAGAAGAAACAGATGAGCAACTGACATCGGAACACATTCCAACCCCAATGTGTGCTTCTAACATCGAACATGTTCCACTCTATCTGTAAAGCCTCCAATCCGCTGTAGGGGTTCTGGTGAAGATGTAAAACTACTACAGAAAACTAAATATAAGGAAGAAGGGCAGTTGGTTTTCGAGGGAAGATAATCCAAAAAGTTTAAGTGAAACTTAAAAATATGAAAAGATGTCTCTGTATTTTTATAAGACTGCATTAAGTTATTTTGAAAGAAAAAGTTGACTACATATATCCATATAAAACAGTCTGAACTCATGACGGGACATAACATCAATCTGAGACATCAAGAAACCTAAATTCTAAAGTATTTATTTATCTGTGTTTATGCCTGTTTTTGATGATTACAAAGGTAACACCTCTGTGTTAATATTCAAACAGTATAGAGGTACGTGAAGCTCATGAAATACATAAAGCCTCTCCTCCTTTGATGCCACCCCACCTTCCAAGCTGAGGAGCCTGACTGTATGGTTAAAAAATATCCATTAATGAAGTTTTTTCATGGTCAAAAAAAAAAATAAAACTCATTCTTTTTGCATTCTCACACATGTAAACACACACGAACACTCATGAGTGGTTTTGTAAAATGGGATGATGCTACATATATTAAAACATAACTTGTTTTTTAACGCTTAAAAATATGTCTTTATACAGGGCTTTTTACAGGTCATCAAATGAGATCCAACTAATCCTTTTACTGGGAATAATTGGAAACAATCCTTCAATAAACATCTTTGTACATATATTCTTACAAAATGCAAGCATCCTTATACAAACATGCTTAATCATTTCTGCAAAAATAGATTATAAAACGTAGGAGTCCAGGGCCAGAGGTAAATTTATGTATGTGTAAATTAATATTACCTATCACTTTCAATAAATTTATACATATATATAAGCATAAACTTGTATAAATTTATATAAAATTTATGAAAGGTGTTTTTCCACACCCTTATTAACCATGGTTCTTTTATCACTTTTTACCAATCTCACAAATAAATTATTTAGCACCACTATTATTTAGCACTTCCTTCACTACCAGTGAAAGAGAAAATCTGTTTTATTCAACAATTGCATTTTTTCATCTACAGATAGATTTGCTCATTAGTTTTATTACTACCATTATTAATAATGTGTCCATAACAAATATTCCTTAATTTGTCCTCAATTTCTACCTTAAAAAGAAAGATAAAGGCTACCGTCATAATTAAATAACAATATAAAGTGTTTTATGTTAATAAAAAAAGAAATCGAACATTTTTTTAAAACATATCCATTTCCCACAATAAGCTTCCATCTCTCACTCTCCCCGTCACTACCATGAAATGAATCAAAGATGTGTCACACCACATCCAAGTCATGCTGACAGAAATTTTAAGCATCTCCACACTTCCCCTTACCTCAGGGCTCTTCTCAGTTTACTATGAGGTCATTTTAAAATCTCAAAACCCAGTTTCATTACTTTATAATCCTACTTCACACATATTAAAGCAACATATAAACTGGCAGACTCAAAAAAATAGCATAGAAAAAGAAAATATTTAATAAATTGGCATGTAATTTGTCATATAGATTTTATCCTGCCATAGTAGTTTTTCAACACATCCTAAATTTACATGAGCATCCAAAAGTGGTCTGGCTCACCTTTGTTGACCATATTGCATCACTTGGAATCAGCCCTCTGTCTTCATCACCCTCAGTTTTGTTTACTGATTTGCCACTTGAAGTACCCGATGCATCCTTTGAATGAGCAAAAGGGTCTAGATTTTTCTGAATTCTTCCTCCTCTGGCTCGGTAATCAGCCAGCATTCTACCCAAGCTCTGGCTATCACCCAGATGCTCAGCAATTCTAGCGCTAACTAGTTCATGCGAGGGCAAGACTTGAATAGACTTGGCCTGAATACTTCCATTCATGCCCTGAAGTCCAGAGAGATCCCTGAGCAGCTGTTTCTTCCTCCTGTTCTCCATTTCTTTGAACTCTTTATTAAGGAGAGGAGACCAGTAAACCTGCTCTGCAAAATAATCTCGGGTAGAGCACCTCATCCCCTTTTCAGTTAAAAGGAAAGGTTCCCGGAATGTGATTACTGGGGAGATACAGAGGATCACATCTTTTAATTCCTGTTTAAAGGCCAAAGAATAAGTGTTTCGTTTATCTTCAGAAGAGGTGACTTCCTCAGTAACATACAATCCAGTGTCATCCTGTAGAGGGTCTCTAAAGGCTCTCATCTGGCTTTTGGGATCCTGTAGTTCATCTAGTTGCTGCAACGTCTCTGACTGCTCGTTGCCTACATCATCCTGCTGGTCATCCACATGGAGCGGCAACAATGATTCTGGTACAGATGGAAAGAAAGAACGGGGGATACCTGCCGAGCAAGCTGTTATGGCATACTCTTGATGCTTCAAAGAGGCAAGAGCCTGTGGAAGACTTTTATTTTCTTGCTCACCCTTCTCAAACAGAGTCCTTGATTCCAGCCCATTGCTGTCATCAGAGGGCAAAGACTCAGGAGGGAAGTCAGGTTCCCAGAAAAAGGAACTTCCACTGTACTGCTCTTGTGCAGCCCCCTCAGGCCCCCGTCCCTCAATCAGAGAATGGAATGAAGGGTTTTGCATTAATGTGGGAGGCATAGCAAATTCATCCATGAGGAAGGAGATCTCTAGTTGAGAATGATAAGCTACACAGATCATAAATACTAGGATCTCCTTAACTCGAGCCAGTTCATAATCAGAGCCTCCTCTAAGCTTGATTGTACAGCCTAGGTGCTGTGGACAGCCTTCAAAAAACATCAGTGTTTTGGTTTGCTCTGCAAGGAAACAAACAAAAAGTTAAGAAGGCTTAGGTGGCAATCCAGAAGTCCAGAAAGAATTAACCCATTATCTTAACATCTACAAAAGAAAACCCTTACGTGAATAAGACTACAATTGCCTATCCCCACTTAACTACTGCCAACAGATACTTCCTACTGAGTAAGCATTGCAATCCTGATGAGTTAACTCATTTCCTCAGTTTCCCAATCTCAGGTGAATCTATGCTAAATGTCACTCACCATTAGGCAACTGAAATATCTGCATATAAAATTTGTGACAAGTGCCCAGGTGTGGTTTCGTAAGCAGCTGGTCCATTGACATTACTAAATCACCTTGGGTCATCCGACTGATTCGTTCTAAAACTTGCTACAACACAAAAAAACATTATATTACAAAATTAGAGAAGAATAAAAATCTTAATTAACGTGGAAAAGTAATGGGAAAAATAACTCTCACAATGAATTTCCTTAATTTTAATAATTATATAACAAGCTTTTTTGATTCTAGATTAGTCTACACTTAGTTGCTTAGTAATCAATATGTGCCCACTAAAACAAACCGTACTCAAAAGACATTTAAGCATTATTCATTAGCACAAGATATTATGGAAAACCAAAACTTCTTAGAATTGGTCTCTATTCTGCAGAGGTAAGCTTTTCAAGGTAGAAAACATTTTCTGCTTTTTGGTGCAATTTCCCAACCAAAATAAAGAATCAACAAATACCTACTGATTAACTAATGTCCACTCCACCTTTGGTCTTGCAGACACCTAAAATAAGTGTTATATAGTCGCACACTTTTTTCCAGTCTGAGATTCTCCAGTCTTAAATAATGAAATAGATGCCATGCCTTCTATCCTACTTTCAATATATATGGTGCAGCAAGGAAATAAAGATTCCTGTATACCTACCATACATACATATAAATTTAAAAGCTGTGATTTTTTTAAATGATATAAAAATAGAGAAATGAGAACACTCACTGATTTCACATTAATGACCAAAGTAATGCCATGTTCCAGTAACATGTCCTGGGCAATCCGAGATACTGTTTTCTCAACTAGAACCAACGTGGGTCGAACATCAACTATTCGCTGAACATAATTCTTCAAGAATTCCCTTTCCTAAGCAAGAGAAACAAGAAATATTATACCTGATACAATTCAAGATACAGACATATTAAAATATTGAGATAGCTTGACTACTAATATCAATCACAGCCTAAATTTTCTTCATCCACAAATAAGTATGTAAGCAAATTAATTCAAACACAATTAAGAATCTCATTCATCATTCTAAACTGTTGATTATGCTCAAGTTTCAGGAAAAATTCCATTCTCCAACTAACTTTACTTTGAAAGATTTTCAATTCTTACCTATAATACAAAAGCCAAGAAACCAATTAGCTCAGAGGTTAAAAAACAAGAACCAAAATACCTAACCTCACAAGTCCCAAGATGAAAACAATTTCTAAGTGTTTTTACAATGGTTATGAATTCCTTCTTTTACATTCTGAAACCAACCAGAGCATCTTTTTTTCTAGGTATCTGAATAAATAACTCTCTAACTGATGTTATTTCAGCTACTTCCTAATTCCAACCTCTCGACAGATCATATTCTTCTACCTACAATAACTTTAGTTAAAGATCTAAAACAGAATACTTAATACAATTTCATCACAAAGGCTTAATTCAAAACAAATGAATATTGTAAATAAAAACTAAAGTTAAAACAACAGTTCATTAACTTTCATAAAATTTCTGGGCTCCAGACAGGAGACAACTGAAGGTGAGCATGTTTGTCACTCCTGCTCCATGTGCCCAAAGTGTCTTCTGAGCAAGACTGTATTACTGTTCACTGCCACCAGCCTATATCCTGCAATAAACCTGACTTCTTATTGAGTATATTTCTTAATGTCTTTTTATTTTGCTGATAGAAATTGTACCTTTTCAAATTCTCCCATTATTAACAAAATGGAACTTTTTCCTGAAATGTGTTAATTTCCTACTCTACTTACTAAATTGTAATTTAACAGCATTTAAAATTTTGTGTAGCTTTTATTTTGTGTATTTGATTTGATTTGTGTAGCTCCAATAAAGTATAATTAGAATAAGTTGATTTTTTAAAAGTTTCTGCACCTGGTACAGGGATGGCAAACATTCTCTCAGTTCCAACTCCAATCAACTATTTTGACTGTACTAAAGCACCACACTAAAAAGGAGGCCTGGTCCAGGCTCAGCAAGGAAAGAGCACGGAGGGTAGGCCATGAGCACAGAATGGAGCAGTGGCAGACCAACAAATCTATTACACCAGCCTTGTGAAGATGGTATAAGGTCATAGGCTAATTATTTCCGTGCCCCTTGTTTCCCATCCTCCTTTTTCTGACTATCTACCTTTCAGCTTCTTCTCTGATCGGTTATTCCACAGTGGGTGGACAAAAAGAAAAGAAAAAACTCAAATCAGCTGATACTTTCTATCAACTGAAACTGTAAAGTTTAAAAGGGCAGGAGTTAAAGGTATAATAAAACTATGTTTGAAAGCACTGATGAACAAGATGTTTTACATTATATGAATTAAACCATGTTTCTTAAGTACACACGTCTGCTCAGAGCATGAAAAGATTTTAGTCTGCTAACCTGATTCCAAGAATCAAGTGATTAAAGGGGATAAATTTAAGTATAACTTTTTCATAAACAAACATCTGTGGATTTCAATTACCCTAATTCATAAATTCCAAGACTACAATGAGGATGCATTTTACAATCAATGCAATTATGATTTAATCCTGTGAAAGTCTTCTGCTGACATTTTCTGTGAAGTCAACAAAACCCCCAGCATCAAAATATCTTAGATTCCATGAATAATAATTGTTTCTCTTTATTTCTTCTTAAGTTCCATACTAAAAAGTCATAGTAAATCAGAGCTAGAAAGGCTGATATAAATCTAGTCGAAATCCCTCATTTTTACTAACATAGCTGAATTCCAAGGAGGAAACTGCCCCAGGTAACGAAATTCGTCCACTAAGCAGAGTTTCATAAAGCACTGTGCCTTTCACTACAACTCAGTTTTTAGGAATGATAACAAACTAAAATTATCAGCATTTATAGGAGAAAAGGGGTTGGAGCAGAAAACTTAAAACCTATGCAACTTCATATCCACAGCACGAACAAAAATAATAACTGGTACCTTAAGAAAGAACTTGGACAGCCCAGCCAGACAGCTCAGGATGGCTGGAAGCTGCCTCAAGGGAAATTCGAAATGCACAGAAACAATTATACAGTACAAGTGGAAATGGAGCTCTGAGCAGCTGAGCTACCAAGAGCCATCTAGAGCAGGAGGTGTGCCTCTCTGGGGAGACAGCCCAGTAAGCAGATGCTCATTTTTAATTTCTTAAAATAGAGCCGCAAGGGTTCATGCCTGTGTGGCAGCTGAGCTGAGGCTGTTTTCTGTTCCAGTTGAGGGTTATTAACCCACTGCAGCTATTCTGAACCCCCTTGCTTAGAAAACCAACACAACTTACACCTGATGTTACTCCCGTTCGCGAAACTACGTTTAAGTTAACTGGTGTGCTAGAAACAGGTTTTAGTACAACAGACTGTATTACAAACCAGAGATTCCATTAGGGACCTGCTAAGTTAGAGAAATTCTCACAGAAAATCAATGGTCCAGATGGGAAAGGGAAACCAGTGTTTGGATTTTCACTTTTTCTTCCATGTATTCCCAGTAATGTGTTCTCTTGAACACTCTGAAACTTTAAAAATGAGTGACGGAAATTTGGGTAATCTACTTCTAAAGTGTAACACATAAAAGTGCCTTTTACAAGAAATTTTAAAAATATAACAAGAGCAATAAAGTTTCTTTCTTTGGCTATCCAATTTAATCAGCTGGAATGAGTCAAAATAATTAGGTTTGCAAGCATCATAGTATGCAAGCATCTCTCCAAATTATTACTTTCAGTAATAAGTTCATACCTGAAGCACAATAGGATCAATGCAAGTAAACTTAGTTTCTTCTCTGTAGAGATACTCAATGGAACACTTCAACAGAAGAATTTTAGGATTTTTAATACAAGAATTCATCTACAAAAAATAAACGGTTTGTTAATGTTTTTAAAAGTTTGCACTTTACAGAACTCCTTTAAATTCATACTGTTCATAATCCCCACTAATTTAAAGTATCTTTACATTAGTATTAATATACTCTCATTCTATTCTTTTGTAGTATTCTCTTACATTTTTCAAAACAAATAGTTTGTGCAGAGTGATACAAAATTCATCACAAATTGGCTTTGTTTTCTCAATACCAGTTCAATTGATTCCTCTATTCTCTTAACTATTTTTATTTCTAATGCTGTAATAAAAGATATCATGCCTGAGGCGGGGATGAGGAGTAGGACAAACTATTTTACAAACTCCAGGATATCAGCAACTTTGAAAGCATATTTTAGTCTTTCTAAAATTCAAGAAAGGTAGAAGAGAAAGAAAAGAATTAAAACGCCTCCTAAACCTATTTCTAAAAGAATAAATTCCCAGACAATCCGGGACAAACTATTTTACAAACTCCAGGATATCAGCAACTTTGAAAGCATATTTTAGTCTTTCTAAAATTCAAGAAAGGTAGAAAAGAAAAGAATTAAAACGCCTCCTAAACCTATTTCTAAAAGAATAAATTCCCAGACAATCCTAAATTGGCAAGCTGAATTGGGTAACATGAAGTTATAAAAGAAAACCTTAGAGCATCTTCAGAAGCAGAGACTCAAACAATATAACCTAACCATGCAAGTAAAGCCACAAGCAGAATAGCCTAAGCCCTGCAATTGAGGTTTCAGACTGACCAAGTTTATAGCCCCAAACTGGCAACTATATTCAGTGCTCTTTTAGCAACTACAAATTAAAGACTGTCTCTAAATATGATCAGTGGAGAAAAAGAGTCATTCAGGCATATGTTCCTACCACACCCACATACAATTTTTTTCTCAATTCCTGAGAAGGGCAAAACACATTTACATTTTAATTCCACAAACATCATTTAATTTTATTTAAAGTACTACTTTAAAGGGTAATGTGTTATTTTAATAATACTCTACGTGGAAACGTTGACTTCAGATCATTGCTATAAAAGTATTATTGAATCCAAGCATACTTTTATTTATCTGTGGCCACTAACAATTTTCAGAAGGCTTAATGCCTTATGAAAAATAAACTATTAGTCTCCACTTAGAAAAGAGTGAAAACAGGACTACAGTTCATCCATCCAGTCACTCAGGTTAGAAATCTGCCTCAGCTCTCGTTGTAACAGAATCAGTATCCCCAGAAGTGGGGCCAAGTTATCTCTATGTTTAATAAGTTCCCTTGGTGATTTTAAAGCACAGCAAGGTTCGAGAACACTGCTATAGATCAATGATTTCTCAAAATGTAATGATCAACAAATAACACTACCTGGAGTGCCTACTTTAAGTTTAGCACCCCCATAAACTCCCACTACCCTAAACCTAGTGAATGAGAAGTTCTAGGGGTTGGGCTTAGGAATCAACATTTTTAGCAAGATCCATAGGTGATCCTGATGTGTACTACACTTTGAGAATCAAAAGGCCTCAGAATAAAGTTCAAAACCCTTAATGGAATACAAAGTCCTTGCCCGTTTCTTCCACCCACATCTGCCATTTCTCATCTTACACCTTAACTCAGAGTGTCCTGATACGCCAGGTTATCTCGCCCCACTCCTTTGTGCTAGTACTAGAAAAAGGTCTCAGGGATGAGGGTAGAAATAAAAGATGAGAAGGATAACATAATAACATTAACAGTTCTGTAGCTGAGCCCTAGAAGAGAGAACAGTTTTAGAATTCTAAGCCTCTAGAAGGATTCCAGTCTGTTAGAGAAACCCTGTCTCTCTGAAATGTGGCAGGGTCAGGGAAGAAATGAGACCAGTATATTATCATTCTGTTGGTCTGGTAGCCTACCCCTCCCCCTTCCTTCTTCTGCCTGGTAAGTTCCCATTAACCAAATTCCAATCCGTTCATCAACTATGGGAGACCTTCCCTGAACCCTAAAATTTCACTCCTGTGGCAGACACTGCCAGCAGCCCCTCAATGTCCATTCTCCTTTTCTTCCATGATTAAGGTCCCTCAACTTGTTAGCTTAGCAGACAGCCATGGTTTGCTGAACTTCACTGTTGAACTGAACCACATTACCTTTTTATGTGCAATGTTCTTGGTACAAACAAAGCCATTCACAACCACAGAATCAAACTTCTTTCCACCTGGGATCTAATGGAAATTTAAGAAAACAACAAAATTCAAAGATACATCCTTAGAATCCAGTCAGATGTATGCTATAATATCTTTCCATTTTTATTTAAACTATTATGTAATCAAACAAGGACAAATAGTTCTAGGACATAGTTCTTCCTTTCAACCAATGATTAATGGCATCTAAGCATGACTGTCTGCTTTCCTTCTCCCTACTCTCTAACGTACTGTATCTGGTACTCTAAAATACTCACTGACTGAATAAATCGGTGCCATGTGTCAGTTAAAACCACTATTAAGTTAAATATTGTAAGTGAAAAATACATAGAAGTCTCTATGTATTTTTATCTAAAGAAACTGCCCACTGCTTTTCCTCAGAACAGTGACAGTAATCTGTGGAAGCAGGATTTCTCATAGATGACACGTCAAGAAGGGGAAGCAAGAAAGGAAGAAACTGTACTTGTTTGGGTTCCCAACTCATCCCCCATCCATCTCACCTCTTCTATTCACCTCTCACTTCCTGTGAGTGGGTCCCATGACTCCCAAGTGCATTGCTAACAAACAGAGCAGACAGCAAAACCTCCCACTGCTCACCGAGCACTCCTCAGGTCAATGATTCTTTTTTAGATTACCTTTAAGAGACATGTTACTATTAGACCTGCCTCATCAGTTCCTAGTATTAACTAAGCATTAGCAGAGCTCACTTTTTTGATGTGGACAAATTGACGGATATCCATGTCATCATCCTGATTCTTCACATCAGGTCGGACAGTCTGAACAACCTGGCAGACCAGTGACACAATGATGTCCCTCCAAGATGGTGACAATGAGTCATTATGGAGCAACTGCTGGAGCAGTGCCATCATGTGATTATGATTAGCTGAACTACAAAAATATTACAAAAAAGAAGTTTGTATAGTTAATACTACCTGAGATGATAATTCTGAAGGTACAAGTAGTCTAAAAAAAAAAAAATTTCAATTATGGCTCACAGACAAGATCTTCTAGGTCAATTTCATTTTTTCAGTACCTCTGTACCTTAATGATTTTGCACATAAATGAAATCTGTGAATACCTTCTACTAAGACATCCCCTTTAATTCACTGAAATAAAATTTTAACACATAAACTAAAACAGGGACAGATAAGTACAGTTTGGGACTCTGTTTTAAAACAAATTTCATCAGAAATCAGAATAGGCATTTTTTCCTAAGTAATCTTACTATTTTTGACTTTATAAAAAAGAGGAACTGTGTATATGCCTATCAAGTCATCAAAGATTACAAAAATGGAAAATTAAAAAGCTCACTGCCTTACAGCAATCTCTCCATGGCTTGCTTCTCCCCATTCTCCTCCCTTAGGAGCTCCAGGTTGTTATGATGCCATCCCAAAGGTGTGAAAGGAAGCTCTTTGGATTTTTCCTCTACCCGACGATTAAATAAGGATTCTAAGTAAAGTATAAAATAGGAAGTTATTACTTCATTGTCATGGTTTTTTTTTGTTTTTGTTTTTTTTTTTGTCTTTTTTGTCTTTTTCCGTGTCCGGCAACGGATCGCAACCCTCAGTGTTAAAAGGGTGAAAATGGATCAAGACAAAAAAGTTAGTAGATAATACACAGGTTGCAAAAAAGATGCTCACTGAATAACTGCTGAATAATGCGGCTGACTAAATGGAAAGAAAAGAGGTGTGAAATACTTACCAAATGACCTAGCCCTTTCCCCTCTTACAGTAAACAAAACCAACAAAAAAATTTTCAACAAACAGTTCTACAAACAACACAGTAAATCATGTGTCCACAACTGAGGTACAAGAACTGCACATGTCAATTATGTAAGCAGCCAGTCTATAAACTTCTAGTTGAAACTTTTCTCCCATTATCTGAGCCCTAAGCTGTGGAGTGTTGTGGACCAATTAGGAAAGTCTTTACTCCACAGTAAGCTAAGTAGGTTAGGGATAGAAAAGGCTTGTGTTCTTCTATACTCCTTTTGTGCCAAAGAAATTGATCAGCAGGGTTAGTTCTTTATCCCTTTCTGCCTACTTCTCTTTCCAGCTCCACAGAGCAAGTAGCAACCACAATTGGATGAGATCTGCCTTGGGCTTTTTGACAAATTTGACAATCCTTAATTATATATATATATATATATATATCAACACTTAATATTACATTCACAATATAGGACAGTATAAACTATGTATGCCTTTAAAAGAATAGAATTCCAATCCTATTTAAAAGCTTTTAAGTAATTATTTTCCAGATGAGAGACCTCATCTCAAGCCAAGTCCAAACTACATTCTTGGTTCTCAACATTCTCAAAATCACTATACCTATTAAAAAGCTGTCTCCATGACACTAAAATAATCAAATATATTTTCAGCACCTTTTCTGTGCCAATCCACTCGCTAGGCCCTAGGTGTATCCTCATGAACAAAAGAGACACCATCCCATGCACAGCTGCTGATAAAATTACCTTTGATGAAGGCATCACTTATAGAGAGCTGTTGTCCTCCAGTGTCAGAAATCAAACACTCTGCATACCAAGGAGAGAACAGAGAGGAGGAAGAAAAGGAGAGACATATGACTAAAACATGCCAGCATAATTACACAGAGAACACACCCACACCCAAAGTATTACTCATACTAACCCCATCACTGCCCAGCGAATTCAAGAAAGCTTTGCCTTAAAATGTCTTATACAATTGTACACACTTCATACTAAATTTAATAGACTCGAGTTTATAACTTAACTAAACTTTAGTTCGAATGTCAAATAATCTTTACCAGATCATTTTTCTCTTACCAAAACTGAACAGGTTTATGGAAATTGAGATCTTCAGTAATTTGTATAACAGGCCTAAAAGGTTACACTATTTTTCTCATATAATTGTATTATTTAACAAATAATGACTTTGTCTATACACAAGGTAGTTCACAGAGAGAAAAGGCACCTGATAAAGCAATATGAGGGTTTTTTTTATTTTCAAAAAATAAGCTATAAAACAAATTAATACAAAAGTGACACTGGCAGGGAATAAAGATATAACATGAGGATTCCTATTAGTTTGGAGTTAAGAGTTTTTTTGTTGTTGTTTTGTTTTTAACCGGTAAGGTGATCGTAACCCTCGGCACAGTGTCATCTGCACCATGCTCAGCCAGTGAGCACACCGGCCATCCCTATATAGGATCCGAACCTGCGGCCTCGGTGCTACCAGCGCCGCTCTCTCTGGAGTGAGCCACGGGGCCGGCCCTGGAGTTGAGTTTTTGTCTTCTAACCAAACACTGCCAAATTTCTTCCAGAAGGTAACTGCTTAACATACTTTGAATGCTTTTAAAATATTAAATATTTTTCTTACAAGTGAAACTTACTGTTTACTTCCCCATGAACTTTTCTCTAGATCTATGACCACACATAACTCAAATGGGGTCTTTTCTACTATGCAAATTAAACCACAGTGTGTTTTAACTTCTTTAAGGTAAAAGTTCTCCACAAAATTTTTTCAAGTTCATTTATAAACAAATGTGCTTTAAAAGTCAACATATTTATAAACCAATATGTTCATTCTTCCAACCAGCAAGCAAAGAAAATATTTTCCTTAGAAAATTCAAGTGTACCATGCCAAATACAATAAAATCAAATATGTGGATAAGATAGAAGTTATAGTTTATTTCTTCAAGATTTTCTTCAAGAATTTTAAAACTTCCTTAACTTTCCAAGAGGTGAAGTCATCAACAATTTAAAAGTGTACTTCGCACTCTGCTTTCAGCAAAATGAAACTGCCAACACTTATGTCCAGAGAAAAGATGTCCTCTATCATTACATATCCTGATTCTAACCCATGTCTATAAATTTATATTCAAAAGCATTATAATATTCTCCATGTGACTATCGTCTACAGTTAATTCTCAGACACTGTCCTTTTATACTCACCCAATTGTTCTCCATCGTTTTCCCTATTTCTGTTTTGAGGATTCCCATAAAGATGTGTATCTTACTCATGCCAGTGCTAGTCAAGCCTCCTCCTTCCCCACACCTCTCTAAACTTCTTAGTTTTAAATAAGATATACCTTTTTATTACTATAACTCTTATATGCCATTTTACCACATCTTGATAATGGCTAATACTGACAATTATGAGAAATTTATTGTAGAAATGTGAATTTGTTTCAAATTATTTTAGTGTAGATGTTTAAGTTCAAAAGCTTCTCTTTTCTCATGTTTTTAAGTTCAAAGTAGAAAGTAGCAAAGAATTAGGCAAGCATTTCAAATCTAAGTGAGAAGACAATTCAACTTTAGAGAGTTAAATGTTTAAAATTCAAACTCTAGGTGAAATCATGGAATAAAGTGCTTCATCTTTATAATAATGACTTTTCAGTTATGTCATAATAAAATCCAATAATTATTTATTTACTCCTGTATTTTTTATTTATTTACTTTTACATAAAGCCATTTTAGGGCTATAACTTAAATTGGCTTTTAATTATATCTAATAGAGTAAACCTCATCATCTATTTTAAAAAAAGGTATTTCATTTCTTATGTGCTGCTATGTTAGATTTTAGTAATAGTTTACCTTATTTTTCCTTTTACACCAAATAACTTTTTTGAATATGACCATTATTACTTTTGAGTCAGCAGACTAAAGCATCAAATGAGATAGCTAAAAATAATGAATTCATTTTGTATAAATTAGAGAAGAAACTTTTTTATAAATATAGCATATATATAATAAGCATTTTAAATTATAGTGGAAAGATGTCTTGGAATGTGTGACTGATTTTCCCCCAATCTAGTCCAAACATCTTAATAGGTTTAGTGAAATACAATGTTACTGGGTAGTAGTATAGGCAATAGTCTTTAAGATATTAAATAAAGAAAGAAAAAAGAATACAGCAGAACATCCATGTTATAAATGCAAAGAAATGCCACCTTGGAAGTTGCACATTATGGGAAGAACAGTCAGATGTAGTTCCTTTTAAAGACTATAAGCTTTAAACTGGGCACGGAAGTACTGAGGGAGAAAACAAAGTCAAAGGAACCAACCAAAAAAGGTGTGGGGAGGAGGTATGGGGAAAATGAGAGAGGGTGGAACAAAACCCACACCAAATTCCCTCAGCCATATGGGACAGAGAAAGCCAGAAGGACAGGCTCATATGGGACATGAGATCCTACTCAAGCAGAGGCTCAGCTATCCAGCCTCTGTTTGGATTCCAGATGGTGACTACCTCCTACCTTTTTGGTCAGCAGGGTGAGGGGGCACATGTGGGTACTTGGAGGGCTTCTTGATATGGAAGTTCACGTTGTCCAGCTCCACGTTCAGGCTGATGGAAGCGGCTGAGTCACTGTCCACTGTGGACTGGAAACTGCTGACTGATGTGCGCTTGCTAGGACTGGCAGAATCTTTTAGTATTGGGGAGGGGAAAGAAATATAGGGAGAGGAGGGGAGTAAAAATGGGTTTTATCAGGGTATTGGAGGAAAGGAAAAAAATGTTTTTTTAATATACAAGCCCAATGTGCAATACCAAAATGGATACAGTATTTTCATATACTTCTGTGTATACTTAATAAAATTTGAACATATATATATAAAATCAATTTTTAAAATGAAGAAATATATTGGAGGTTCTGCAGAAAGAGAGTCTGATATCAGTGAAGAGGTGAGAAAGTTGTCTACTGCATTATTAATAGCTCAGAGTTATTTTTAAGCTGCTGTAAACTAGAGAGTATGGTAACATCTGGGAAGGCCAGTTGCCTAACAAGTTGGTTTCTTAAGAAAATACTGTATCTAAGACAAGGATTGCTATCAGATATTTACATTTAGTTGGAGCCATAAATTGTAAAGTAGGATTGTTCCAATGAAACAGACGCTCATTTTATCATATAAACACAGTAATGACCCATGAAAACTTAAATGTCAGAAAGTTAAACTCACTAGCCAAATTATCGTCACCTTCTTCAGCTATCTGTTCTGTGTCACTGTCATCAAACTTTATGTCTTTAAACCAGGATGGCTCAGAGTGTCCTTCCACAGAGTTCACAGAGTCACTGTCTGGAGATGGTGTCTCAGAAAATTCTGTACTCTGAAAGGATCAAGACAGGATGTAAGCAACTGACCCACAATAGCAAAAAATGTTGATACTATCACACTAAAATTAAATTGTAACCCAATATTTAGGGGCCGGCCCGGTGGCGCACTGGATAGTGCGCCGCTTGGGAAGCGCGCGGCGCTCCCGCTGAGGGTTAGGATCCCATGTGGAGACCGGTTCCCGCTCACTGGCTGAGCGCGGTGCGGGCGCGACA